AGTTGTTTGAACCCAGAGCTTCTAGGAATAACAACACTCTCCTTAATTACTGAGGTTGTTTGATGAGTTCGATATGAAACTTTCTTTATTATTATATTAAGAAATGCTTTAAAAACGAATGTCTCACATTATATGTATTATTAATGTCATATATTGATATCTATTAATGATATTAAATGTGTTAAAAGTAACAAATGACCATTAAATTATTGTAAACAGTTTTCTTTTTAATTATTGGATTTTCAAAAGTTACAAAATGTGCATTAAACTTTATATTTTATTAAAAAATGCATCACATTGCAGTTGAGAGGGTGACGTGACATGTTAAATTAATAAAAATTATCTTAATTGATCCATCAATTGTAACTAAAATTTTATTTTGATATTTGTAAATAATTATAAGCAATAAATTCTAAAAAATTAAAAATGGATTTTTTTAAATATATGCAAATTCACTATTTATTTTAACAATTATAAAAATATTTCTAAAATTTGTAAATTTATTAAAATATTTTATAATTATTATTATTATTTAATTATGGTTATATTTGTAAAATTAAAATTTTTATAATTTATAATTTTTAAGATCCAATAATTTCAATTATCAAACAACGAAATCATTTTTTGAGTGATGTGCAGCGATTCAGAATTTTGAACTAATATTTGAGCATTGATTTGAACCTTAAAAATTATTTTAGCTTGTGTGTTTGGGGTGGTTGGACTGAGTGTGAACTGGATTTGAGTATACTTTATATCTGAAAATAGAATTTTGATTTGAAAAAAATACCTATGTAGATTTCTCATTGAAGAAAATTGAGCAATCTTTTCTTTGATTTTCTCTTGGTCTATGCATAAGTTTGACATAAGCAACTAATGAGTTGGCAGGAGAAAATCACTATCCCTTTTATTTCTTCTTCCTTCCTATTCACTTTTCATTCGTTCTTCTTCTTCTTCTTCTTCTTCTTCCACCGAAAATCCATAGGAAATATCATCTAAAGAAAAACATTCAGTGACGTCTGTACAAATAAACATACAAGTCTTATATGAACATGTTAAGCATAAACATTCATAATCTTTAGTTAATTATTGGAGCTCATAAGTGTAAGGAGTACTATATGTCATATCATCACATAAAATCTTATCCGTACCATTATAATAAATAGTAGTAAGATATTTAAAACCCCTAAGCATCAAGTAATATATATTCCATTCAACTATGATACACTAACCATACGTAGTCCATAAAACTATAACCAATTAAGTTCCCCCCCCCCTATAAAAGTGGGGAAAACTATTAGATATGATTAACATCAATCAAAGTCTGATTGTGATTGATAGCTCTTTAAAGTTGAATCCTCCTTTATTAAATATTTCGCCTTCGTTACAGTTATTAAACCATATCCCATCAACTTTTTATGTCCTCGTATATTACCGTCAAACAAGTAGGAGATAGTCTTGACTACCAAATTCACACTATTTTAATTCCATAAACTTGGCTTGGTTTACACTTGTTCGCATTTAATTGTTTTATAATATCATCGTCTTTAATTGGCTTCTATATGTTAAGCATGGTTATCCTAAGTTAATGAATAGTTTAAACACCTAACCCATGTCAAATTAAGGACAAATGAACTCTATGTAATCATTTGCTTTCACGACGACTTACGTTGTTTGGCCTCTTGCTGAGAGAAAAATCATACGAATTGACTACCTGAGCTTGGCTCAACTTGTAATATAGGTACGATTGTATGTACAAACTCAACTAACCATGCAACAATGACATTGTTCAAGTATATATTTGTTAATGGTAAAATAGATTGGGATGGTTATGGATGTTTCATTCTTCTGATTTATTTGAGTAGAGAATCGTAGTTGATGGCTGGTGGGATGAAGAAGACAATGAATAGTGCGGCGAGCTTAGAGAGAGCAAATAAAAGAGTGAGTGAGAGAGCCCTTCAGTTTTGCCTGATGTTTTGTGTATTGATCCTTAGTGTTTGTGTCAAGCCTAAGGTCATTATGACTATTCGTAGGTTGACAAACTTAATACGTCTAACCATCAGATATTAGATTTGGCTCTGACGAATTATGTGGGTCTATCAGTGTTCATGTCAAGGGATTGTAGTTGGCCGGAGGCTATGCAATTCTAGAGACTTCGAGTAACTCCATATTAATAACAACAAAGGAGATCTGAATGAGGTATAACGATATTAAAATTTAAGTTAAGATAAGATTATGAGACAACCAATAATAAATTTACTCAAGGTGAGAGTTAACCTTGAATACTCGATTAATCAAAGCTTCAAACTGTATCAACTTTGTCAAGATTTTTTAACTCTCAAATAAATTACAATAAAAAATAAAAAATATTAAATTAAATGAAAATATATATCTTATACACGTATCGATATATCCAAAAGGAAGAAAAATAATGAAAGAGAAACTCCATAGGAAGAAGAATAACATGCATGTTTTTCTTCGTATTCTTGAACCTAGTGTTTTTACATAATATTCAAAGCAAAGGCTTCACTTTGTCATAAATAAATGTGTGTGTGTGTCGTGAAGCATGCGTGAGGAGTGCTCCCATATTTGACAAACTTGATCTCAATATTTTTCAGACATAAATGGCTTGACAAAATATGCTTATAACAAACCCTAAATCGTACCCTACAATATATCAAAATCTTGAATATTGGTTTGGACCCAAATCCAAATGATATAATTTCAACACATAATTTGGTCATTAAGAAGCAATCATTTCATTCAAAGATATGAGTCCACGATTAAAAAAGGAAGAAGAAGAAGCAGCCTATATGAATCTCTTATATTGAACTTTACAAATTTCCACATATGCATGGGTCTTTATAGTTATCGGTTGTTGTCACTATCATACATAAATTTTTATTATGCTTTCACACAAGAGAAAAGCATATTCATGTGTGTTTAGTAGTTGGAAAATGTAGCATTTCTTTTTTTTATAAAAAAATCAATAATATTATGTGAAAATTTTCAAATAACTAAATGTTAATGCCTTTGTTTAAGAAGATATATAGAAAAAATAGAATTGATGCAAAACTTTTTTTATATATATAAAAGTAGATACTTCTTTTTCTAAAATGATAAATGCGTCTGATCCGATGCTGTTTAATAATAATGCAGAAATAACAAGACCAAATACAGTTTTAAATTCGGCCTAACTCCTAAGCTTGACTACCTGGCCTGTTGTGCAACATTCATGGACCGTGGCATTGCCCCTACTTTTTGACTTAATTGGAATCTTATTATTTCAAACTCGATTTGATACATAGAAGACTCCACAAACAACAATGCGTCTCGATTTAATTACGATCAGGAATGGATACATGATTTTATGTTAAGGATGAAATTATAAAATTTTAAGATAAACTTATAAAATTTTAAAGTTACGAAAGCAAATTATTAGTATAAAATATAAAAAATAATTATATGAAAATTTAAAATTTCCAGAAAATGATTATTCCGTCCGTCCATCTTCAGTTGTGATCACAAAGTCTATGGAAGTCATCCACACAAATCAAAGAATAATGTAAATTTGATCTCAATTTTCTAGTAACCGTAAAAACATAAAGTTGAAGTATATTGTCGACATTCACTGCTTAAAAGATATTACCTACGTTAATTTTGAAAAAAAAAAGTTTTTATTTATTTGATTAAACTAATATATTAAATAATAATAAAAAAATTTAAACCAAAAGATAATTTGATTCGTTTGATAATAAATAGACTAAATTGATCCATTCCTATAGTGGAGGGATCTAATAGGTAATTTCAACTTTTATATATGTCATAACATTCTTAACGACTTTCAGTTTCATGCATTAATAAAAAAATTATATAATTAGTAATATTAATCATGACTTGAAAACATTATCAACCAACTTAAGATTAGAAATGAAGGCAGCCAACTGCTTTGATAAAGAAGCAAAATACTGAATTCTGAAATAAATGAACTTTAAGAAACAATATATAGAGTTCCATAAAATTGTGTTTGCCTTTTAAAAATATTTTATACTTTTATTTTTATAAATAATTTAATTTTTTTATTTTCTGAAATATTTTGATAAATAAAAATATAAAATATTTTTAATAAAAAGAATATGTTCGGTTAACTATTTTCTTAGAATAGAAATACATTAATAAAATTAAAAAATCAAGCATTTATACCGATTCGAACTAGAGCCAAATATTTATAAAGTAACGTAATATTTTATGTTGCGCACAACCTCAAAGATCATAATTTTTAACATTTTCGATTGTAATCTAAAATATTATAAAAATAATAACATTTTCGATTAAAACCTAAAATATATTTACAATAAAAAAATAACATTTAAAGTTGTGCGTAACTTAAAATATTATATTATTTTATAATATTTTAAGTCGCGCTTATATTAAGCTTATAATAAGTGGTAGACAATTTGTAGACAATCAACCAATCCAATCCATCTACCACTTCCACAAAATAAAAATACTAACTTCCTTGTATATACACATATTAAATGTCATGATTAAAATAAAAAGTTGATTTTTAAAAACATATAGTAGTAATTGATAAAATAAACTGTAACTCAGTAATATAAATAGCAAAGGCAGTCCTACGGAGAATCCGCGCAACTTCAAATTTTCAAGTATCTAGTTTTTTTTTTTAAGGGAAGAACAAATTCCAATCTCTGCTCTAAGTAGTATCCCTTTCCATTACATTCATTCCACCTGATATATATATATATATATATTATAGTTTGAAGCTTAAATCATCTTATATTTCCTGTTATATTACATATATAAGAAAGAGGTATCGGCCTGAGAGATTACAGAGGGGATGATGGGAACCCAGAAACAGAGGAAAAATGGAAATCTGCGATTGGATGAATGAGTAACATGTGCCAAAGGCCATTACTTGATTTCATCAGCTCTCTCTCTTTCTCTGTGAAAGCCAAAAACAACGGCTGTTTTGATTTATAAGGAGTATTCCGTATATGTTCCTTCACAATCACAACTCATAAAGAAACCCATAACCACCTTGCGTTTCTTTCTCTTCCCCCATGGAAACCATTTTTTCTTCTTTTCCTTCTCTTGATTCTAGGCTTTTGAACCCTTCTCTTCCCCTCCCCCGCCGTCCGCGATGGCCCAGAATGGGCTCCTCCGTCCCCCACCACCGTACCAGCCAAAGCAAGATCAAACTCATCGTCCTCATGGGTGCTACCGGTTCCGGGAAATCCCTTCTGTCCATCGACTTAGCGAGCCATTTCCGCCACTCTCAGATCGTGAACTCGGACAAAATGCAACTTTTCAGCGGGTTGGATATAACCACCAACAAGATCCCTCTAGACGAAAGGAAAGGGTTGCCGCACTTTCTTCTGGGCGAGTTCCACTCGATCGAAGCCGACGTGGCGGCGTCGCAGTTCCGTTCTGTCGCCGGTTCGACCATCGTCGACATTGCCTCGCGTGGGAACTTGCCGCTTCTCGTTGGTGGGTCCAACACTTTCATTCATGCTCTCCTTGTGGAAACCTTTGACCCCGAAGAGGACGTGTTTGCCGAGTCGGGCTACCCGAGTCACGTGTTGAGGTATGACTGCTGTTTCCTGTGGGTCGACATGGCGTGGTCGGTACTCACTGAGTACCTATGCAAAAGAGTCGATGAAATGCTTGACTCGGGGATGTTCGAGGAGTTGGCTCAGTTCTATGATCCAACCAAAGCGGGTGTCAAGGTCGGGTTACGGAAAGCAATCGGAGTACCCGAATTCGATGCATATTTCAGGAAGTACCCGCCGTGGGAAAGCCCGAAAAACGGCGTCGTTCCCGGGAAGGACAGTGACCCGATCCAAAGGGAAGCTTACGAGGAAGCCGTAAGGGAGATCAAAGATAACACGTGTCGATTGGCAAACAGACAGATAGGAAAGATTCTACGGCTGAAAGAGGCCGGATGGGACCTCGCTAGATTAGACGCAACGGCCACGTTTCAAGTATTGATGAAGAAAAAGCAGCCGCCGGCTTCGGTGGAGGCGGAGTTAGAATGGAGGGAGATTTGGGAAAGGGAAGTGATGGAACCAAGCGTGAAGATTGTGAAGCGATTTTTGGAGGAGTAGGTTTTCCAACTAATTTATTCTTTATTTCATTAAAAAAAACTCTCCTACAAAAATCAAATTAGCCGATATGGACCATCTGGTTCAGAACCGCCGAACCAATGGTCAATGGTGAGGCTGGCGTTTGGACCATGGCTAGGGTGGGGTTAACTAAAGTTTGGCGGAGGGCCTCTATACAGAAACCATAGTTATCAAAACCAAGAAATTTTGTAGGTAAACAAATTTTGTGAGTTTTTGTTTCCTCTATGTGTATTTTTCTTAAATATTATAAAATGTTTTGCTATTTAAAACATCTTAAATGTCTAATTCTTAAAATTAACTATAGAATATAACTATATCAAATAACGTAATAAATTGGAGTGATAATATTTTTTTGGAATAACGTAAATATATAAAATAATGTAAGAAATTATGGTACTTGTAGTTGAGTATGTGGAATTGGAAAAAGAAAAACACTTGGAAATGGGAAACCCTTTGAAAGCAGCGAAAATATAATGCTACAAAAATTGCCTTTTCTTTTGATTTATTTGCTTTGCAGACACGACAAGTGTCATAGTTGTTTTCCGACTGTCACACAAATGTTAGTTTTATGACATCCTAATTGTTACTATTTCTATATGTTATTGTTAAAGTTTTAGTTGTTATTGAGTTATTACTGATTTCGTTTACTGCTCACCCTAGCTGTTAACTCGCTCGTTCTCTAATCTAGAACGTCATGCAAGGAATTACTAGTATGTTATTTCTGATAATTTGTATTGATCTGGTTTTACGTTACTTAAGGATTTTAGTCATTTTCTGACTCTGGGGAAGTCTCTACGCAATTTGAGACTTCACAACGATTTTAAAGTTTATTACTTACTGGTTAGGGTTTTGATTGACTCGGTATCTGACTTGGTTCATTTATGGGTAACGATGCTCTGTTCATTAACCCTACGCTCTCCCTCCATTCACCCTCGAATTAAAGAAATAATTGTGCGTCCAACACTCTCGGTCGTTCTTGAGATAAATCACACTATTGTCTCATAATCTGATTACTTGGTTGTACCTTTCGTCGGTACATCCAGTGCACTGATCATCTATCCATATCTGTCTGTTACATGCTTACTGAAGATATTTGGATGTAATACACCTACTATGGTTACACTAGTTGTAACCCACTCCTACGAGTGTCTTTGGGCTTCTTTGGCCGTTTACGTCCCTCATGGACTAAGCTTTATCCTTACGGACCATCCAAAGCTCTTACGAACCTTAATCGGGTCGAATCTGATCATTTGAGGTGGGTAGTATCAGTACTCTAGCTCTAGTATTGATACCTTGGAGTCAAGTATTGATACTTCAATGAGTAACGGTACCAAAAATGTATTCTATTGCTGAGGCCCGGTCTCGAGACCAACACTTCCAGTCTCAAGACCGAATGGGTAGTATCGATACTCCTTTGGTAGTATCGATAATCTCTGCCTAGAAACCCTATTTTTCTCCCTGATTCAAATGATATTAATACTGTTTATCCTGGTATCGATATTCAAACCTAGAAACTGATATTTTAGGCTCGGGAAAACACCTAAAATCATCCTAAGTGATTTGGGTTGGTTACTAAACTGATTATAAAGTTCTAGTAAGTTATTTATGGTCCTTAGGTGTCTTAAAAACACATTTTTAACTCCTAAAATGTTATTAAATCTTGAAATCAAATTTAAACCCTAATATGTTCATCTACTCAAATCTTAGCTGTAACACCTTAAACTAGTAAAACACATAGTCGACCGATGTAGGATGCCACACAAAACCACCAAAGTGGCTAACCAACTTATTCTTACTTTCTTGTACTTTAAAACGTCTCTTTACATCTAAGAGCCCTCAAAATATATAGATACCTACATATTAACTCTTAATTGAATTTACAACTCAATAAAACTGAATTCATGAATATACATGCCATTTAAGAAACTTGTGACGTACTCTACTCTGCACTGGATCTGGACTTCGATCTCTCTAAAGTTTTTCAAATGATGGATCTACTAACCTGCCCATGGAAACATTCGAAGGCTGAGCTAACTAGCTCAACGCCACACTAACAACTAAAACATACCAAAAATTTATCACTGAAATGTACAAGCTATCAAGTCTACTGATATATGGTATACTGGTATGTTCTGTTATGTTCTAGTCATACTATGGGTCTAGGGCCTCTCGGGCAACGTTTTGACCAAAACAGACTAAAAGTATCGATACTAGCCTAAGAGTATCGATACTCCTAAAAAAGTTTTGATACTTCATATAAGTATCGATACTTTTAAACATTCAGTTCTGCTCAGTTTCAAAACTATAACCCAAAGTTTCGTTACTCTTGAAATAGTATCGATACTCTTGCCTAGAAACTCACGAATTTGCCCAAAACGAAGAACAAGTATCGATATTATCCCTATAGTATCGATACTCTACCTGCAAAAGTCATAAAACAAGTACGAAAATCTCTATTTCTCAATCCCAAAGACCTTAGTGAGGTCCCTAAACATGCTTAAAGTTTTATGTGAATACAAGGAGCATAAATAAAGTTTTATACCATACTTATAACATAAATCATGTAATCTACCATTAACATAAAACACTAAGCTTCATAACTTACTCTCAAGCTGATAGGGAAGCGGTGGCGGATTGATGAACGTTGCTCTTGTTGAAGAATCAAACCTAGAAAAGCTCTAGACTCGATGAAGAACAATAAGGAATGAATGAGGAAGGTGTCGGTAATAGCTAGGGTTCTTTAGGGTTTCTTTTGGTGCTGGAAACAAGAAAACAAACAAGATTAAAATAAGATAAACAAAAGATAAAGGAATTAAAAATAGAGAAAAATAACCAAGAAATCAAAGATCTCCCTTATGAAAGTGAACGGTAAAGATGATTGATGGCGTGGATGGATGTGGAAAATCGATGGATAATGTCCTATCGAGCCCTCCTAGTCGCAATGAAAAGGCAAACACGATAATATGGCTCTAACCAACCCTCCTAGTCGCAATGAAAAGGCAAACACGATAATATGGCTCTAACCAACCCTCCTAGTCGCGATGAAAAGGCAAATTGGAGTGTGAAGATTAATCTCCCTCACAAGAACTTGAAAGAACTCCAGGAGAAGAAGCTTCGAAGGCACAAGGCAATCAGCACTTGCAAAAACAAACTCTCGTTGTATTATTGATCAAAGAAATCTGATTTACAAAGTTGAATGAAGCCTCCTTTATATAAGGGCTGAATTCTAAAGGTCCTAAATAACTAAAGAATAAAATATTAATAAACTAAACATGTTTTAACTCTAATTCCTAATAAAATAATAATAACTAAAAATATTGTTTTAACCCAACCTTAATTCCTAATAAAATAATAAATCTGATCCTAAAAGATAATTAATCATCCTATATTAAATTATATTACAAATAATCAATATAAATATTGAAAATTCGTAATATTTACAAAATAACGTATTAATCCCGTATAGGATTTCCTGCATGCACCGTCTTCAGTAAAATGGCCATATCTTGAGTTCCCAATATCGGATTGATGCGATTCAAGAACCGTTGGAAAGATAAGAGACAGATGGTTGTATCTCCAGAAGACATGTCGACCGGATAACAACTGGATCCCCTTCAAAAAGTTGTTGCAAATATGCTGCTATTAGACCCTTCCGAATGAATGCTTGAACTGCGATTTGAAGCTTGTCTTTAAGAAGTTTGGTCCGACCTCGTGTGATAGGGCCAAGTCGTATAGTAAATTCATCATCCTTAGCTTTAGGGCATGTGGTGCATGTATCATCTCCCCCTTTCTTAAAAGGATTCGTCCACGAATATGAAATATCAAAAGAAGATAAGTCAGAAACATTAAAGGATGCACTCACATTATACTCACCGGGAAGATCAATGCGGTAGGCGTTGTCATTGATTCATTCAAGAACTTGGAATGAGCCATCGCCTCGTGGGTCTAGCTTGGATTTCCTTTGTGTCGTGAACCTTTCTTTTCTCATGTGAACCCATACCCAATCTCCTGGTTCAAAGGTGACATGTCGTCGGCCCTTGTTAACTCGGTTTGTGATTGCCTCGTAGGTTTTCTCCATCTTGAGTTTGGCTTTGGCGTGAATGTCTTTGAAAAGGGTAGCCTTCTTTTCACCATCTAAACTAGCAACCTGATCTAAAGGTAAGGGAATAAGATCCAAAGTAGTTAGTGAGTTAAAACCATAAACTATTTCGAATGGAGAATAACCTGTTGTGGAGTGAATGGATCGATTATAAGCAAACTCAACAAAAGGTAAACATTCTTCCCAATTACGGGTATTCTTACCTACCACAGTTCTTAGCAAAGATCCTAGAATCTGATTTATTACTTCGGTTTGTCCATCGGTTTGAGGATGCCAATAAGTGGAATAGAGAAGTTTTGTGTCAATCTTACCTCATAATACCTTCCAAAAGTGGCTTATGAGCTTAGTGTCACGATCGGACACAATGGTGCGAGGAATGCCATGAAGGCGGACTATTTCTCGAAAGAATAAATCAACAATATGTGTGGCATCGTCCGTTTATGGCAAGAAATGAAGTGTGCCATCTTTGAGAATCTGTCCACAACCACAAAAATACTATCTCGTCCTTTCTTAGTGCGGGGCAAGCCAAGTATAAAATCCATCGATAAATCGATCCAAAGAGAAGAAGAAATTGGTAAAGGCGTATACAAACCATTAGGATTTACCTTTGACTTTGCTTGTTTGCACGTGATGAATGATGCACATATCTTTTCCACTGTTTTATGCATGTGCGGCCAAAAGAAGTGTTCCATGACCATATCAAGTGTTTTATGAATATCGAAGTGTCCCATAAGTCCTCCGGCATGTGACTCTTGAACCAAGAACTCTCGCAAAGAGCCTTGTGGTATACACAACCTGTTCATGCGAAAAAGAAAGCCATCTTGTCTATTTAACCACACTTCGAGTGCTCGGACGAGTGCAAGAAGTTCCTTGTCGTAGGTAGAGTAGTTCAATTGTGCACCTTTTAACTTTTCACTAAAGT